CCCCCCCCCCCGGAGGCCCGAGTCTTCATCCCCCTTTGGACGCCCCCGAATTGCAGACCCCCATCTGGGGCCGCGCACAGTCTGGGACCCCAGGAAAGCGGTCAGGAGGTGGGGATGAGGCAAAATCGGCTCAAAATCCTTTCCCCAGACACCCATCGGGGTCCCCCTGGTGCATAATTCCACTTTAGATCCGTTCTTGACGGTCTTGCGACTCTAGAACGGACACGGGAGGCCGTGAAAGCCCCCCCCCAGACCTTCCCCTAGGGCTCCCAACTTCGCGCTTCGCGCTCCGCGAAGCGCGAAGCGCGAATAACTTCGCGCTCTCGCGCCGCCCTCCCAAAGGGAGAATAGGAGGACGAGGAGGAGGGGGAGAAGGAACGAGGACCGCGAAGCGCGAATAACTTCGCGCCCTCGAGGGAGCCCTTGTTCCCGACGCCAGAACCTCGAACCACCCCGCCCTTCCTGCTCGCCCGAAGCCCCTCTAGTCAGCACCCCGCCCTGGGACGCTGCCGACCAGGAGGAGGAAGGAGGAGGAGGAGGAGGAGGAGTAGGAGGAGGAGGAGGAGGAGGGGAGGTAGGAGGAGGAGGAGGAGGAGGAGGAGGAGGAGGAGGAGGCGGAGGGGAGAGGAAGGAGGAGGAGAGGAGGAGGGAGGAGGAGGAGGAAGGAGGAGAGGAGAGGAGGAGGAGGAGGAGGAGGAGGAGGAGGAGGAGGAGGAGGAGGAGGGAGTAGGAGGAGGAGGAAGAAGAGAGGAGAAGAGGAGGAGGAGGAGGATGAGGAGGGAGGAGGGAGGAGGAAGAGGAGGAGAGGAAGGAGGAGGAGGAGGAGGAGGATGAGGAGGGAGGATGAGGAGGAAGAGGCGCGGGGGGGCAGCTCCGAATCCGCCAGGAACTCGGACCACTGCGGGCTGCTCTTGAAGGTGTTGTTGGCCTGCCGCGGTTCCGCGGGCGGCGTACTCCGGGGTCGTCGGGGGCGGGCGGAGGCGGCAAGTTGGTGGCAAGCAGGGCGCGAGGAGCCACGGGCCTCGCAAGAGGTCAGCGGACACTCATGCCACATGCATCTGTCACTCCTCCTCCATCATCCTCCTCATTCTCCTCCTCCTCCTCCTCCTCCTCCTCCTCCTCCATCCTCTCCTCCTCTTCCTCCCCTCCTCCTCCTCCTCCTCCTCCTCATGCCTCATCCGATCGACATCAATGCGGTGTGTGCAACGCGCTGCACTTCGACCGCAGTCTTCCCCGCGCGTGCCAATTCTGAATTGGGGGGAAGAGGGGGGGGGTCAAAGGACTGATTCCCTCTGCCAACAGATGGGGGGGGGACTGGCGCAGGGGGGGACACGGGAAACATCGAGCTGGAATCGGCGATGCGTCGCCGACAGATCGGCGATAGGCCACCGATGCAGACTCCGCACCCGCCTGGGCGGAGCGGGCTATCGGGCTCCTATCAGCGATGACTGGGCGATTGGGTTTGATGCACCCCCCCGGAGCCTATCCCCTTCTAACGTTGCCCCTGAGATGCGCCGAGACGCCACGCGTCAGCGCTGGTGCCCCGGTTGCCTCGCCCCGCCTTCGGCGCGCGGAAGGCAGCGGGGCTGGGGGCGGGGCGCTGGGGGCGGCGCCAGGGGCCGAGGAGGAGGAGGAGCTGGCGGCGGGGCTGGACAGGGAGGAGGACGAGGACGAGGAGGACGAGGATGAGGAGGAGGAGGAGGACAAGCGTAAACCCAAGACTCATCAACGATGTTGGGATAAACCCGCCCTGCAAGCTCCCTCTTCATAGGCCCCTACAAAGCTTGATTTCCGCTCAGGGAAGTGCCTCTTTGGGAGACAACCGTTGGAAGATCCTGAAGCGTGCCAACAAACCATTCTCGGAGCTTCAACGTCACGAATCAACATGACTGGTGGGTCTTGATGGTGCCGCATCGTGCCAGATCGCAATTCCTCGGACTTCATCTCCGCGGGTCAACCTAAATCTTGCGCCCTGACAATCCTGAACATGTTCAAAACGCCGCTTCTCTTACTTTGAGCATGGGAGCCTGTGACACTCTTGCAATTTCTTAAAGCGAACGTGCGCGGCGCTGAGGCGCTAAGACAAGAATCGAATTATGCAAAATAATCGCCCTCGCCCTCAATCCGTGAAGCTGGAGCAACGTGCTTGGACGAATGTGAGCGGCGCTAAGGCGAGAACCACGTTTTGAAAACGACCCGCCCCCAAGCAGTGAAACTGCTTGCACTCGTTGAAAAAAAACAGTGCGCGCGGCGCTAATGCGACAGCCGCATTTTGAAAACGAATCGCCCTCAATACATGAAGCTCTTACAATTTTTGAAGACGAGTGTGCGCGGCGCTGAGGAAGCGGCCACATTTGGAACACCATCCAGGACCACCAGCCAACTTTTCCGCTTCAGGATCATGTGTGGTGAGGAAGTCTCAGGCGAAACGCCAGGCCCGCCCTTCCGACTGGCCCCAGGGTACATCAGGAAAGGTTATTGATAAGGTTGGAAGAAGAATAGGACGAGAAGTGGACGAGGAAGAGGAGGACGACGACAACTCCTGAGACCCGACAATTGCCAACCAACATCACGGAACGTCACTACCAGAGCCCTCAGAGTCCAGCTTTCTAAAAGGATTTTTCAAGCGGGGTCGATCTGTGATGGCCCCCGAGACAGAATTCATGCGAAAACGCCCACTGCGAAACAAGTGTGACTCCCGGGAGTCAGGGACCAGGATGGGGAAAAGGGATAGTGGGTTGGAAGACGAACGAGAGCGTCGACCAAGGACGGGGAGCAGCAACAGCAACAGCAGCAGCAGCAGCACGAGCGCGAAGGCATACACCAGGCGCTCCAATGTTTGCCAACCATCCTGTGGTGTTGGGTCCTCGTTTTGAAGAGGCAGCGCGCCGCGTTCTTCTCCGTCTCTCCTCCGCCTCCTCCACCTCCTCCTCCTTCTCCTCCCTACTCCCATCCCTGCCTTTGTTTTTTTTCGCATGTCAACATCGTCATCATCATCAACAGCATCATCATCACCACCACCACCATCAGCATCAGCATCGTCGTCGTCATCACCATCACCACCATCATCATCATCATCATCATCATCATCATCATCATCATCATCATCATCATCATCATCATCATCAACACCATCATCATCATCATAATCGGCATCATCATCACCATCACCATCATCAGCATCATCCGCATCTCCATCACCATCATCGCCATCATCATCAACATCATCAACATCATCATAATCACCATAATCACCACCATCATCAGCATCATCATCAACATCATCATCAGCATCATCATCATCATCAACAGCAACAGCAACCGCAACATCATCATCGTCGCCGTTATCATCGCCATCATCTTCGGCACACCCCTCACACGTTTAGTGGCCTCACAAGGAGCTACACCAAAAGTCCCAGGGCGCCGCCCGCATGCGTCCGACCCACTGATTTCAGCACACCCCTCACGAGGATCGTGGCCCCACAAGGAGCTACACCGAAGGTCCCAGGGCGCCGCCCGCATGCGTCCGACTCACCCATCTCGGCACACCCTTCACAAGGACCGTGGCCCCATAGGGAGCTCCGCTGAAGGTCCCAGCGGCGCCGCCCGCATGCGCCCGACCCACAAATTTCAGCACACCCCTCACGAGGATCGAGGCCCCATAGGGAGCTCCACCTGCAATCCAAGTGGCGCTGCCCGCATGCGTCCGACCCACCCATTTCGGCACACCCCTTACGAGGATCGTGGCCCCGTAGGGAGCTCCACCGAAGGTCCCGGGAGCGCCGCACCCATTTCGGCACACCACTCACGAGGATCTTGGCACCGTAGGGAGCTCCACCGAAGGTGCCAGGGACCCCGCCTGCTTGCACGACCCACCCATTTCGGCACATCCCTCACGAGGATCGTGGCCCCACAAGGGTCCCAGGGGCGCCGCACGCATGCGTCAGACCCATATTGGCACACCCCTCGTACGTTTCGCCGTCCCATAGGGAGCTCCACCGAAGGTCCCTGCGGCCGTCCTCGCGCGCGCCTTCCCCGCCCATTTCGGCACGCACCTCACGTGTCTCGTGGCACCATCGGAAGCTCCACCGAAGGTCATAGCGGCCGTCATCGCATGCGTCTCCACCGCGGGGCGGAACCCGCCCCATGTTGGCACACCCCTCACTCGGTTCGCCCGTCTCAAGCGGATCGCGGCCCCATGAAGAGTTTCCCCTGGATCGTCCCGCATGCCCTGCGGTACTCACAACTGCGTATGGCTGGGTCCCTCGCCAAGAAATGTTCGATGCGTGGACCCCCGGAGGTGTGAACCAATTCCCTAGGGCCCGTTGGTTCTGAATACTTTAGTTGGACGGCCCTGCGGCCCTGCGAGGACCACGGACGCCGAAGACGGTACGACAACCAGGCGCTCTGATTGTTCCGAACGGGCAGCACGAGCGCGAAGGCATGCGGCGCAGACTGCGTGCCTTGTCATCTCGCTTGGGCGTTGCCTGATGGGTCGGGGGGAGAAACGTGCACATCTCGTGCCCTGCGAGGGCGCAAAATGTGCACCTTTCCCCCCCCCCCCCAACCCCTCCCACCCTCGTTTGTCACCCCCCAGTGCGCAACACCCGTGGGCCAGCGCTGCCAGGGGGGAGAGGAGGACGAGCAGGAGGAGGAGGAGGAGGAGGAGGAGGAGGAGGAGGAGGAGGAAATGGATGAAGAGGAGGATCGTAGTGTAGGAGGATGAAAAAGAGGAGGACCCGTACAAGCGCAAGATGCGCCAACGATGTTGCAATCGACCCCCCCTCCAAACTCCCTCTTCATAGGCCCCTACAATAATTTAGTGCCACCGCGTGAAGTGCGCCATCGAAAAACAACTGTCTGAAAATCATCAATCGTCCAATACACCATTCCTCGGGCTTCGAGGCCGCGAACCCGCGCGTCCTCACGATCCTGAGTCGTGACAGAGCTGCGTCCCTGGGACTCCAACACGGAAAAATCAAGGTGACGGTTGCGCCCTGGCAGTCCTAAATCATGCCAGAAGGCCATTTCTGGGACGTCAACCATGAGAACCCTTGAGCCTGCGCAGACCTTTAAGACGAATGAGCGCGGCGCTACAGCCAAAACCACATTCTGAAGAAGAACGGCCCTCCATCAGTGAAGCTTCTCCAATTTGGACACCCGAAATGGGTACCCAAAGAATGGGTACAATGCCCAACAACAAACGTTGTCCCAAACCAACAGCGGCCGCTGTTGGGCAGGCGGCCTTCTGTCTCGAATGGACACAGGCCGCGGCGGCGTGGACAGCGAATCCTGTTCAGAATGAACAGGAACTGCTGTTGGACATCGTACCCATTCTTTCCGTGCCCATCTCGGGCGTCCAGATCCAAAGGTTTACAACAAACGCACCCGGTAATGCGAGAGCCACCTTCTGAAAACGGCACGACCTCGCCCTCCGACCGTGCAACTCTCTTCCAACCTCTTAGGCCTCGAGACCGGGAACGGGGAGGCAGTCCCGGGCGAACCGCCCGGCCCGCCCTACCCCACGCCTCTCGGGGTGCGACATGGAGGAATTACGGCCTGGACCTGTCCAGGACAGACTAAGACCCTCCGAAAACATGAGACCCTCCACCGGCCAAACCGAAGAACACTCGAGGGTACCCTCCCCCAGGATGCACAAGAGCATCCGACGACCACGGAGAACACCAAGGGGCACCCTCCCCGAACCGACCTCGATCTCATGCCTCGGCCCGACCGCACCCCTCGGGAACGGGGAAGGATAATGAGGAGGGGAGGCACCGCGACGGCAGGCGTCGCAGGCTGCCCCGTCGCCTCGCAGTGGGCGACCCCGCCCCCCACGGCGGCGGGAGCGCGGCGACGGCGGGGCAACCAGAGGAGGAGGAGGCGGAGGAGGAGGAGGAGGAGGAGGAGGAGGAGGAGGGGGAGGAGGAGGAGGAGGAGGAGGAGGAGGAGGAGGAGGAGGAGGAGGAGGAGGAGGGGAGGAGGGGGAGGAGAGGACGAGAGGAGAAGGAGGGAGGAGGAGGAGGAGGGGAGGGGGGAGGAGAGAGGGAGCAGCAGAAGCAGCAGCCAGCAGGCAGCAGCAGCAGCAGCAGCAGCAGGAAGAGGGAGGAGGAGGAGGAGGAGGAGGAGGAGGAGGAGAGGGAGGAGGAGGAGGAAGGAGGAGCGAGGGAGGAGGAGGAGGGAGGAGGAGGATGCGGCGCCTGCGAGTGGGTCAACGACATCCTCAGCGCCTGCCGCGGGCGGCACTCCTCGGCGGGATGGGGGGGGGGGGGCGGGCTGCGCGAGCGAGCCGCTCCGTCGCTGCCCTGCCGTCGTCGGCGCTCCGGGGGAGGAGGAGGAGGAGGAGGAGGAGGAGGAGGAGGAGGAGGAGGAGGAGGAGGAGGAGGAGGAGGAGGGGGAGGAGGAGATGGAGGAGATCTGGGGCCGCGGATGGGAAACGTCAGATCGGAGGCTGTCTGGGCTTGAAGGAAGCGCGTCCTGGACAGGAGAGCCCAGAACCGAATCGGCGAGCCGGATCGGCGGTCGACGTGAATCGGAGCGGCGGACATCGGCAGCCAAGCCGGGAGAAGTCGAATCGGCAGACACGGGCAAACTACCAGGCCCTCCCTGGAGGACTCGGAGTCCACACGGGAATCCCAAGTCGCATCGAATCGGAATCGGAAGCCACCCACATCGTATCGGATCGAATCGGAGGGGTCGAATCGAGCCTTGCTGGAGGGCACGAAGGGGGTCGTGGAACACTTCCGCCGCACGCGGGCCCCAGGGGGGGCCACGGAGGAGCACGCGCAAGGAGGAGGAACTGGGCCCGGGAAACAGGCACCGTGCCCTGGACCCGCTGCCCCTGCGGAAAAATGCAATACAAGGTTCAACCATAAGAAAAACGAAAAAGGATAAGTAAGCGAATATAAAAAGACGCCTAGAATACTAAATACTAAGCCGAGAAGAAGAATAATATGCTCATAATAATAACCTCCTTCCTAAGAAACCGACCAATAAGAAATCCTTTCTCCTTCCCCTCCCTACATCCTACTCCTCCTACCATCCCATACATCCTACCTCCTCATCCTACCTCCTCCTCCTCTCGTCTTTCTCTCCTCATCCTCCTCCCTCTCTCCTCCTCCTCCTCCTCCCTCCTCCTCCTCTCTCTCCTCCTCCTCCTCATACTCCCACCTCCTCCCCCCTCCCCCCTCCCCCCCTCCTCTCTCCTCCTCTCTCTCTCCTCACTACTCCCTTTCCTCCTCCTATCATCCTCCCCTCCTCCTCCTCCTCCTCCTCCTCCTCCTCCTCTGATTCTGGACTGCTGCCGCTCTCGTCCTCTAGCCTCTGTTACGCTGCCCGAGTAGACATGGGGAGGGTGACTGGGTTATCGAATTCGATTCGGCTGGACTTCCTAAATTTGGGGTGTCGTAGGAGGAGGAGGAGGAGGAGGAGGAGGAGGAGGAGGAGGAGGAGGAGGAGAAGGAGGAGGAGGAGGGGGATTCAGAGGAACAACAAATTGATGAACCCCGCGCGAACCCATCAGGATTTCTCTGAGACGAAAAGAAGGTGAGCAAGCTTGAGGCCAGGCTATCAGCAGTGCGACGCACCGCACAACAATGAAGAACCAATCCGATTCAATGACAATACTGCCATGAACTGTTGGTGATATGACGGTTGCAATGCAACAATATCTAATGCACTGGCAATGGGAACCCAGGCAACATGCCACGGAACGCAACGCAATACAATGCACATGCATGAACATAAAGTGTGGTGCAGAAGCGATACACAATCAATGCAACACCAATGCCACGTCACACGTTATGATGAATTTCACTGCGAGAGCATTACAACATGAATTTGATGCAAAAACAAATAATGCAATGCGCTAGGAGCGCAGACGCAACACACGGCAACCGTACTGCAAACGCAAAGCAGAAACAAGGCGCAACCAATACAACAATAATGCACTGGCAATGCCATACAATGCATTACCAACGCGATGGCAACGTATCAATGCCACAAAAACGCAACACAATGCCACAACAAAAACAACACAATGCAGCATTACGGCAAGTACAATGCAAACACAATCCAGATGCAATGCAACACCAACTTGGAACTGCGAGATGCTGTGTTACATCGCCGCTGTGAAAACTGGACCAGTGCTGTACTACCCCCGACGCTCTCCCAGGGCGCGCGCCGAGTGAGCTGCTCCGACCTGAAACCGAACACGCCCGTCCTGTAGGGGGAGCGGCGCTCATGCACCGTACCATGCTTGGACTCCACTCGGGCCTCGCTCCAACGCGGTACGGTGCGCAGTTGTTCGGCTCTGCGGGCCGAAAAAGACGAGGATCCACGACGCCTCGGGAGGCGCCAACGCGGTACAGTGCACACAAGGAGTCCGCGGATCCTGTGTTTCAGGCGACGTCCAAGGCGAAATCGTCGGTTCGACCGCGGGCAAGACATTTTGGAATTTTCGTTTGTGTCTGCGTGAACAAAGAATGAAGCCGGAATTACGGCTTCGGTATCCGACCGACAATTGTCGACACTGGTGGAGATGATGTGATTCGAAGCCTTCAGCGGAACTGTCAGATTGACCTGGGAAACCCATGTGGACTTGAAACAAATGCCCAGGAACATACCACGTCCTTTCTAAACAGATGGCGACAACAATCAGGACTGATCAAATTCAGAAGAACACATGGGACGCGTCGGCAGTGAACGTCGGGCCATATTCGACTTTGTCCACTCGCGCAATCACTCTTGCTGCTCGGATCGAAAGGGAAAGATGATGATGCTGCTTCTGATGATCCGCTGGCCCCCTTGCGGGGCCACCAGGCTGAAGGCCGGGAATGTGCTGCTCCCTGTGCCACTTGCAGCTTCCAGCTTCCACTGTTACAGTTCTGCTTCTTGCTGCTTACTGTTCCTTGTTGATGAACGCGCGAGGGGGGGGAGCCCAAACCAGCAGAACTACCACGCCCTGGAAGGGTTTTCAGAATTTCTGGGAGGGAAAAATTGACACCTCTCACGCAGATCCGCAGGGTCAGGGTCCAAAAACACATGGGATTTGCCACAATTCCCAAATTCGGTGGCACCCCTCAAGCAGATCCGTAGGGCCAGGGTCCAAAAAACACATTGGATTCGCCACATTTCTAAAATTCGGTGGCACCCCTCACGCGGATCCGTAGGGTCAGGGTCCAAAAACATTGGGATTTGCCATATTTCTGAAATCCGGTGGCACCCCTCACGCAGATCAAAAATCACATTGGATTTGCCACAGTTCTGAAATCCGGTGGCACCCCTCACGCAGATCCGTAGGGTCAGGGTCCAAAAACACATGGGATTTGCCACATATCTAAAATTCGGTGGCACCCCTCACGCAGATCCGTAGGGTCAGGGTCCAAAAACAAGGAGGATTCGCTACAATTCACAAATTCGGTGGCACCCCTCATGCAGATCCGTAAGGTCAGGGTCCAAAAACACATGGGACTCGCCACATTTCTAAAATTCGGTAGCCCTCATGCAGATCCGTAGGGTCAGGGTCCAAAAACACATGGGATTTGCCACAGTTCTAAAATTCGGTGGCACCCCTCACGCAGATCCGTAGGGTCAAGGTCCAAAAACAAAAAGGATTTGCCACATTTCTGAAATCTGGTGGCACCCCTCACGCAGATCCGTAGGGTCAGGGTCTTAAAATACAAAGGATTTGTTATATCTCTCAAATTAGGTCGCACCCCTTCCGCAGATCTGCAGGGTCACGACGTCTTACCAACCGCCAGGTGTGGTAACCCCTCTGGTGATCAATTGGCTTTGCTCATTACGAATCGGCCTCGCATGAAGTTCCGTCACGACAGCGCCCAAGCCGACATAGCTCTTGCATAGCGCATTCTTCGAGAGAGGAGGCCGGCGGCAGTGGGCGAAGCCCTTACGGATAATGATGATGACGACGATGACGGTGACGATTGTGATGGTGTCGACGATGCTGATTATGATGATGATGCGGCTGCTGACGATGTTGATGTTGATGTTGTTGATGATGGTGGCGATCATGCTGATGACGATGTTGATGATGGTGACGAGAGTGATGATGCTGATGCTGGTGATGATAATGATGATGTTGATGAGAATGATGATGCTGCTGATGATGATGGTGATGATGATGATGATGCTGATGATGATGATAACGATGACGATGATGATGCTGATGATGATAATAATGAATCTGCCGATCCGGCATGCGAGGTCCAAAAAGCCAGAGCTACAGCCTAGAGCCTAAACTTCAGCTTTGCTTTGGGGGGGTTGCCGGGGCGGCTCTGCCGCGGAAGAGGGGGGGGGGACCCCCCTGGTGCGCCTATGCTCCGCTTTGCTCCGCTTTCCGTCAAAGTGTGCAGCTCAGGACCTCTTAGGTCCAACGCACTCGCTGAACGATCGGGCCTAGACGACCAAAATAGACCCCAGTCGGCCGCGAAAGCGCCCAAGCTTTCCCAAAAAGGCCTCCAAGAGCACCCCCGAAGAGGGCGCAGAGAGGCAAACACCATTCATTCCTGCTTGGAAGCCACTTTTTTAGCATGTCTGGTTTCTCGGCCTTCACGACGTTCAAGACGGTCCAAGCAGGTTCCTAAGGCGGGCCCAGAGACCCCCGAACATCGCCCAAAGACGCTCCAAGCGGGTCCCGAAACCGCCCGATAAGCGCCCAAGACGGCCAAAGCCAACCTCAAAACAGAGCCAAGAAAGGCCCCAGAGGGGAAGCCCGAACCGATAATTCCTGCCGTCCGCTCTAAGATACCCCTCGAGATCCCAGGATATCCCCCATGGCCCCCAAGAAATCCCCATGCGGACCCCAAGAAGCCCCAAGAGTTCCCAAAACGGCGCCCAATAGGCTTCATAACAATCAAGAAAACCCTGGGAGCCCTCCCGCGACATCCCCACGAACATCTCACAGGCTTCACTATCACCCGCGGCCCAGGCACGGTGGCGCGGAATGGGCTGACGGACGTTAGATCCGCCGCCCCCTGTCGATTCATCGCAGGGGTGCCTGGCGTGCTAGACCCTTTCGGTTTTGGTTTGGGTTTTTTTTTCCAAAAGAACTCCCCCTGGGCCTCCGGCGCGTCCCGCCGGCCACCCGGAAAGGTGCCCAATTGCACAGTTTTTTTTCCAAGACGGCTCAAGATGGCCTCCATGATGGCCACGTTGGCCCAAGATGGCCTCCAAGATGGTCCAATATGGCCTCCAAGACGGCCCAAGAGGTGCCCAGGAGGCCTCCAAGACGGCCCAAGAGGCCTCCAGGAGGTCCTCCAGGAGGGCCCGAAGAGGCCAAACTTATTGATATTCCTTTGGTTTTTGAAGGATTTTGGTATTCGCTTCTTCCCGGCTTTCCGACGACACAAGACGGCCCAAGAGGCCCCGAAGATCGCCCCCACAGCGCCCAAGAGGCCTCCAAGATGGCCAGGACTGCCCAAGAGGCCCCCAAGACGGCCCCAAGAGGGCACAAAAACGACCCAAGAGGCTTCCAAGACGCCCAAGATGGCCTCTAAGACGGCCCTGGAGCACACCGAGAGACCCCAAGTGGGCCCAGAAAGGCCTCCCAAACGGCTTCCGATGGCGTCAGACGGGCCAGGAGCCCACCAAGATGGCCGAAGTTGGCTCGAAGCTGGCCCAAGACGGCCCAAGAGGCCTCCAAGAGGGCCTCCAGGAGGGCCAGAAAAAGGCGAAAAATACAGATGTTCCATCGGTTTTTGAAAGATTTTGACATGTGCTTCTTTTCGGCCTTCAGACGGCCCGCTACGGCCCACGAGCCCCCAAAGATCGCCCAAAAATCGCCCAAGATGCCTCCAAGATGGCCCCAGAACGGTCCAAGGAGCCCCCAAGACGGCCCCAAGAAGCCCCCTAAGGCGGCCGAGGAGGCTTTCAAGACGCCCAAGATGGCCTCCAAGACGGCCCTGGAGCTTGCCAAGAGGGCCCCAGGTCGGCTCAGAGAGGAGGCAACAACTCAACCAAAACCACGAGGAGGGCGTCAACGCACGCGGCGACGCGGACGCACCTCGCCGAAACGCACATGCAGCGACGACAGGCAACCAATCAACGAAGACGGCCCCAGGGGCTCACGACGCGCGAATGGCCCTGCAAGCAACGACAGGCAACTGCCCAAGCAGGAGAACCACGAGGAGTCGCGCAATGCGCGCAACGACGCGGACGCCACTCGTGAAACGAACATAAAACGCGTGGCTGCATTTGTTGAGTGGTTGCCTGTCGTCAACCTCTAGGAGCATCCACCGTGTAGTCGTGCGCTATCGTCGTAACCGCAGTCGCAGTCGCAGTCGCAATCCTCGTCGTCGTCGTCGTCGTCGTCGTCGTCGTCATCGTCGTCGTCTTAGTCGTCGGCGTCGTTCTTGTCGTCGTCGTAGCCCGCGGCCCTCACATTTTTCGCGCCGCGTCCAGCCGCGCGCGAGACTCTCGCCCAGGGAAGCTCGACAACCTCGACGTCGTGGACGTCGTCTTCTTGGGCCCGCAACGAAAACGTACCAACACCGATTTCCTGGCCCCTTCCCAAGCCCATCCTGGATAGCTTTCCCCCCCTGATCAACGCTTTCGCGGCCCAGGAGGGCGAGACCAACCCCGGAAAGAGGGGGGGGGAGAAGGAAGAGAGAGAGGGAGAGAGAGAAATTGTTATATATATATATGTAGATATAGACATTTATGTATGTATATGTACATATATATAAGAGAGAGAGGGAGAGAGAGAGAGAGAGACAACAAAAAAGAAAACAAAGAGAGAGAGAGAGAGATAATAGAGAGAGAGAGAGGGAGAGAGAAATAAGGAAATCAGAAAGAGAGAAAGAGAGAAATAGAGAAAGAGAGAGAGAGAGAGAAAAACACAAGGACGTAGAGAGAGAGAGAGAGGAGAGAAAGAGAGAGAGAGAGATAAATAAAGAAAGAGAAAGAGACAGAGAAGAAAACAGAAAGAGAGAGAGGGAGAGAGAGAGAGAGAGACACAGAGAAAGAGAGAGAAAGAGAGAGAACAGAGAGAAAGAGAGAGATAGAGAGAAGGAGACAAGAGATGGAGAGATGAACAGTGGCAGGGGCCTGCCGGGGGTCGCTGGCGCCCGACGCCGCCGCCGAGGGGTGCTGCTCGCCAGCCCAGCGGCGCGCCGGTGGCGCGGGCGCGCGGGGCGCGCAACCGGATAGTCGTCGTCGCCGTCGCCGTCCCCCATCATCGGTCGGACGTCGCCGCCGTCGTCAGTGGGTCGGTCCGTCGGTCGGTCGATGCCGTCGTCGTCGTCGTCCTCCTTTTTCCTCCTCCCCCTATGGCGGGAGAGGAAGGGCGAGGAAAGCGATGGGGGACTAAGGGCAGCAGCAGCAGCAGCAGCAGCAGCAGCAGCATCAGCAGCATCAGCAGGCGGGCGACCATGGCGCCGAGTTCAGCGGCAGGGCGCCGAGTTCAGCGGACCAGCACTAGGTGTTCTCCTAACGCGTAAACCGCCCTGTTCTGGTGACCGGTCTCTCTGTTCCGAGTTCCGGTGGCGGCCCCCGCGTTCCCGCGACGAGCCCGCGTTCCCATTCCCGAGTTCACCCAATGAGATTGTGGCAGGTGGCAGGGCGCACTGTCACTACTATTGGGCGCGTGGCAGTTGACGAGTGCAAACATGGCCCCGCGACCAACGCGCCGAGAAAGAAGAACACGACCAGGCGCAACAGGAAGGAGAGAGATGGCATGGCATAGACTCGCAAACTGCTCGGGCACAGTGGTCATTGACCTCCAACGCTGGCTTCCGCGTGCGAGGCAAATCCTATGTTGCCCCCATGAAGCTGCGACTGGACTTCTTCAGCGCCCCCGAGATGGCCGTGAGTTTCTCGAGGACTTGCCAGCAACAGCGTGACGCATGATTCCCACCACCTCCATACACTGCACATAGACTTGGAGCACTCCAACTGACGACCGACATGTTGACGATAGGTAAGAACGGCCTGGCAGGAGCAGCAGCAGCAGTAGGGGAGCTGGAAGAGGTACCCGGGCTGCTAGCGTCACTGCTGCTACTATTTGATGACATGCTACTACTGTTCGAATTCGAAGGTTCGGAGCTGAAAAACGAAGTCCCTATCGAGACGCATGTTCGGCAATCGCAAGCATGGCCAACTTGGAACTCTTCAAAAGGGGCGCGTGAGGGCCATTGTTGCTGCCTCGAGCAGCGCGTCCGCTTGGGCATCCAGCCCAAACTCAGGAAGCGCAGGAAGCTCAAGGTCCACGTGGACTTTCAGCCGAGACGTCGATGAGAGCGGGGCGAGCAGGGCTCGCGGTGTCCCCCGAGCGGCGCAGCGCGCAACTGTCGCCGCCCATACCGTTCGAACCAACCTCGTAGTCCGTGGAGCGCAAGAGGGTCTCCAAATTGTTCCTTCTCCTGCCCATCGCCAGGCAGAGACGCCGGCGGCGAAGATCCAGATCACGTCGAAGTTTGAAAGACAGTACTTCGCCACGAGGGCCAGGGAGTGTCGTGTTGAAGTCGAAGTTGCTCGGGCGGCGACTTGCCTGCAACGCGTCGCCAAACTCGAATATTGCTTTGCGACTCATGTCGGCGGCCTTGATCACACACTGGGTGTGGTTGGCGACTGGCATTGCCTGAACGCAAATTTGTTCAGCAACGCGACGCAGTGTGCTGGCCAACATCGGGCTCGGATAGCCAATTGACACCAGCCTGCGTGCGCCCTGGTGTTGAGACCCCAAACGAGAAGAGAACAATCGCGTAGAGCCCGACGGTGCCGCCGAAGGAGACGATGTAGGACTGAGCGCGCGCTGGCGACGCTGGGTGGCTCGTCTGTGTTGCTGAACTGCGAGGTGATCACGTTGAGAGACTCCTGGGTCTGGACAACAGCAACAGTGGTATCGAGCCTGTTGATGCGCCGAGCCCGCTCCGACGCGAAGGCCGCCTCCTCCATGGCATCGCCAGTGCCATTCTGAACCGCCTCCATCCGCGCCTCGAAGATGTCGAGACCGGCGGCGGCAGCGCTGCTGTCGGAGCCCATCTATCTGCTCGAAGCTGTTGTTGTCTGCGGGCTGCAATTCATTCATTGTCGAGTTCATGGTGCTCATGCCAGCGATGAACTGCTGAGCCCACGATGGCGGCGCCTCCTCTGAAGCCATGGCTGCTGGCTGCAGGGGCGAGGGGATATGAAGAAGCTTGCCTGCCGGTCGACAAAGAGGCGGGGCGCTGCACCCGCCGAACTTCTTGAGCAAGGAGTTGCAACCAGCCAGTAATACTCAGGTTACCTTCGTAGCTTCCCCTTCTATCAGTCTTGAGCCAAACTGGCTACGGATGGTGGTGAGAATGCTGATGATAATGATGACAACTATGATGACGGCAGTGATCAAGAACGCCATGAGGATGATCATGATAATGATACTGATGCTGCTGGTGTTGGTGATGATGTTGCTGGCGATGATGATGCTGCTGATGCTGGTGCTGATTATGCTCGTCCTGCGTCTCCTCCTAGGGGCACTCAGACGTTGGCGCTCAGGTCGGGCTCAGGTCGAAGCTCTTCGCCTCCAACAAGAAGCACAACATCGACCTCTGATCGAAGTTCCTAGCTTCGAACTCGGAACGGCGACTCTGCCTGGGGCTTGCCCCCAAATCAATGCCGGACGAAGTCGGAATGTCTGTGGGTAGGTCGACCTGTGCGAAAACACGTGGCGCAGGCACCCCAACAATGTTGTGAAGGGGCCACGGCACCTACCGGGTCGCGCTGAATGTTGGCCGAATTTTTGCTTTGGGGAGCTATGACTATCCTCCATGCTGTGCTCTGCCATGCGAATGGTGTGCTGTGCTATGCGGTGCGATGCTGTATGTGCAACGGCTTGTGCTACGTATGCCGTGTTGCGATGTTTGTGCTGCTGTGCCACGCGGAACGCCCACCAGGTCACGGAGAGAGCCTTTTCTGGCCACGCCACGCTCAGGCTCCGAAGGCTGGACCTAGGGGATGGCCCGAAAACAAAGACCGGAGCCCCTCCTGAGCCCAAAGTGGTCCCCATTCCAACGCTTTCACTGTACGACATCTACGCAGTGCCGCGGTGATTCTCCTACTGCCTGCTAGTGCGAACGGTTGACTTGCACCCGCGTGCTCGACTCGAGGCGATGGCGTTCCGCGGCCAGCTACCAGACAGCCGGTGGCTCCCGGCAGCCTGTGCTTCGCGGAGGCGGAAAGGGAGATGGAACACGAGAAGCACGCAAGACGTATCTTGCATCAATTAACTTGCGCCACTTACCTTGCACCGCCTGTATCGCACCACATAGCTTGCACCAAGCAGCTTGCACTTCACACGCGTCGCAAACTCTTTCTGTGTGGGATCCACGCTGCCACCACAGAACGCTTAGGAACAATAAGGAGCCTGAGCGAGCTTCTCCTCTCGGGAAGGCACCCCTGGGAGGCGTGTTGGCCAAGATGGCTCCAAGATGGTCTCAGGTGCCCTGTGGTGGCCTCCACGATGGCGCAGGATGGCTCAAGTTGGCTCAAGATGGCCTTCGGGATGTCTACGAGAGGCCTGGAGACCGCCCCAAGAGCGCTCCCAGTGGCCACGGAGCTTCAGAAGGATACGGTCATATGCGCCCAGTGGTATGTGCCTTCACACCATTTCGCTTCTCGATGGGCTACTCAGGCGTCACGGTAGCTCCGAGATCACCCCAGGGAGCCAGAAGAGAGGACCGCAAAAAGGGCGGCGGGGGGGGGAGCAATTGAGACCCTTGCCTTCTTGTTGATGTCCTCCAAGGCCACTCCAAGAAGGCCCCCGCGGCCCCTAAGGTGGAGGAGGACGAGGTGGGAGCAGGTAGGGCGGACACCCTCCAAGTGAGGCGCAACATGTACCCAATCTCAGAACTGTGGTTATGTGCTTGTTATCTGGTGGGTGCCTCTCGTGCGGTTCGTCCAGCCTCGCGGGCCCTGTTCGACAGCCTCGGAGGCCTGTCGATTTGATTGGAGAGCCCATGCAAGTTGAACAACAGATCGCTTCGGCAACGGCTCTTGCCGACGTCTAGCTCGATGTGGGCTCTCTATCTTAATGAAACCTGCATTGTGCCGAAACCGCGACCTCGTGCTACGAGTTGACGCTGGCAAGCTGATCTACGTTGTTTTCTGTCTGCGCCATTGACTCACAGCGGCCGAACAACACAGACATCGCACCAATTGGCCACGGCAAGAATTGCATAATAGGTATAGCGGGGTTGAATAGGTTGAGCTCATGTCCTAGCTCATCGCTGTCTCCGGAGAAACCGAAGATTGATCATGTGCAACAGCAACACGCATTCTGAGCCGCTATGATCATCACTCTTGCCAACATAGTTGTTGCTGTGGCTGGTTCACTTTACCAGAAGTTTGTCTGCAGCACGGGACGCGCAGAAAAGGCCGATCAACCTTAAGAAGCACTCCAAAAGAAAAGGTCCAGATTCAAGCTCGAAGAGGCTGCAAGAGCTCAGCAGCATGCCAGCCATACCCAAGTTCACAGCAATGAATATCAATGACAACTGTGCGAACTTTCCCTTGGCTGCTTCGTCTGATGAAGCAAGAAGGGTAAATGGGACCAGCCAACAGCTACAGATGTTGGACATGCCAACGCAGATCACGCTGTGACGGATGAACTCGGCATCAGCATCGACTTGGTACGTCTGCATGAACTTACCTGGGAAGAAGTAGGCGTATGGGGCGTAATGAATGCCCGTTGCCACGAGATACATCTCAAGGGGGCCGGCTGTGACATCAGCAAGCTTGCAGCTAGGGAGAGCGAACCCTGCCCCCGAGAAGCACGCGAGAGCGAGGAAAATCATAATCATCGGCTGGATGTGCAGATACCGCACATTCAGCTCGACCGCGTAGGCATGGTGTGAAATATAATAGTCAACGACGACCATGGCGTAGACCACGCCCATGATGAAGCAAATGTTATTGATCGTCGCCTTCTTTGCGGTTGCCATGATGAAGACGGGAACCATGCCCATGAATACCAGCGAGGAGCCTGCAAACCTGAGTAGGGCTTCGTCGATGAACCGCTCCCTGAACAACACTGAGTAAGGAGTTCTTGACAACCTCACAGCCGCTTCCTCAGATAACACGACTGCGATGTCGATGCCATAAATGTTTAGCACCCTGTCGGGCAACAGCGCCAAAACCAGGCCAACGATGACCCAGTACGCGGAACTGGCAAGCAGAACATTCTTCGGGTCCATGCCCATGGCAAGAGGCGCAGAGTCCTGGGAAGTTCTTGGGCAACCGAGGCAGCTGGGGCTGCTCGCCAGTGCTTGAGCGGCCTGTGAGCCAAAGCTTGAGGCAAGATAGCTCCGGGAAGCCTGGGGGCCCTCTCGGGGTCCTCTGCGGCCGCTCTGGGGATTGTCCTAAAGCGCTCGCAGGGCTTCTTGCACCATCTCGAGCCGTCTCGGGATCTCTTGGGCCATCCTGGGCTCCTCTGGAGGCTCTCCTGAACCGTCTTGGGCGGCTCTTGAACCATCGTGTGCGGCCCTTGCGGCCCTCGCCTCGCGGGCAGCCTTGGAGCCCTTCAGCGCGCTGTTGAAGCCCTGTTGGCCAGAGGACGAACTTACCAGCATTCTTCGACAGCCATTCGGTTTTGACAATTTTGGCTGTCTGGGGCCTCCCTGGTGCCCCCTTTAGGTCTCCCACGGCCTCTTGGGGCCCAGCCGAAGCCTCCGAAGGCCACCTCGGCGTCCCTGCGGGCTATCTCGCAGCGGTCTGAGGCGGTCTGGGAGCAGTCGAAGACTCTCCTGATTAGAATCCCGGGGGCACGGTTTCGCCATGGAGAAACCGGGTCTCGAGACAAGCCAGCGGCCTCTGGCACCCCAGACAATGTGGGCGCGGAATGTATTCTCGACGTCGGCGCTGTTCGCAGGGGCGGGACCGGGGAACGCGGAAGTTTGGCGCCCGATGAAGCGGATGTCGGCGCGTTACCCCAAAACGCCGACCGACATGTTTCAATGTGGATCCCACCAGCCCTTCAGGGCGTGAGTGGTTTAGCAGGTTTCTTCTTCAACCCCCCTTCTTCCCTTTCGGGGAGGTGTTTTCCCCCTCACCCCCCTCCCCCTGGACGTGGAGGGTGGGTTTCGCGGGCCTTTGGAGCGTCCAAGACGGCCTCGGCGAGAAGGCCAAACACATTGATGTTACTAAGATCTGGACCACATTTTGGCCTCCTTGGGGGGGCGGCCCTAATGTGGGAGCTCCTCTCCTTTTGATCGATCTCCTCCAAGATGGCTCCAAGATGGCCCCGAGGCTCCAAGGGTGCCCCAAGAGGGCCCTAAGATGTGCCCAGGAGGCCCCATGAGGCCCTCTAGTAAGCCCACAAGATGCCCCCAAGAGGCTGCCAAGAGACTCCCAAGAGGCCCCACAGAGGCCTCGGCAACATGTCAAAGGTTTTTGCCTCCTGGGGGGTGGACCCTGATTTGGGAGCTTCCCTCCTGTGATCGATCTCCTCTCAGATGGCCCCAAGATGGCCCGCGAGGCTCCCAAGGGTGCCCCAAGTCTTGGGGCCCAGGAGGCCCGCAGAGGCCCCCAAGCGGCCCCGCAATGCCCCCAAAGGTGTCCCAAGATGCCCCCAAGACGCCCCAAGAGGCCTCCCAGAGGCACCCAAGACGCACCAAGGGGCCCCCGGGACTGCCAAGAGCCCCCCAAGACGCCCAAGGAGGACTCCAAGAAGCTCTTGAAAGAAATCCGAAGAGACGCCGAGAAGCATCCAAGAGGCCTCTGGCTTTTCTGCTTGCCCTCCTCCTCCTGCTCCCCTCCTCCTCCTCCTCCTCCTCCTCCTCCTCCTCCTCCTCCGCTTCCTCATCCGCCTGTTCCTCCTCCTTCCTCGTCCCTCCTCCTCCCACAACGCCCATCTGTAATCTGATAATGCGTATCTAGCGAATGCGGCAGCGCGTGGCAAACTCGAGTGAGGACTGTTCGGCTGTTCCCAACAGCGATTGGGACAGGGCTTAGCGCTTGGCGCGGCACTGCACACAGCACAGCACCGCAACGCCCCACCGAACCACTAG